GGGCTATCAGAGTCGTTCATAACCTTCATAACCCTTCCTACATTTCTAGTAGCTAGGTGGCACAGTGGATAGAGTTCCTGCCCTGGAGTCAGGAAGACTCATCTTGAGTTCAAATCTGGTCTCAGACACTTACTAGCTGTGTGACCCTGGGCAAGTCACCTAACCCTGTTTGCCTCAGTTTCCTCTTCTGTCAAAGGAGCTAGAGAAGGAAATGGCAAACTACTCCAGTATCCTTGCCAAGAAAACCCCAAACGGGGCTACGAAAAATAGAGCAAGACTGAAAACAACTAATAACAACAAAAACATTTCTAGTCTTACACCCTATTCCCTGCCACGTTTCTGATCCAGTGACACTGGTCTTGCTGTCCCATGAACAAGACAGTCTGTCTCTCTGGCTTTTCTCTGCAGTCCCTAATGCCTGGAGTGCTCTCTTTCCCTCAACTCCACCTACTGATTTCCCTGGCTCCCTTCAAGCCCCACCCAGACTCCCACCTTTTACCGGGAGCCTTTCCCAATCTGTCTTAATTCTAGGGTCTTCCCTCTGTTAAATATTTCCCATTTATCCTGTATGCAGCTTGTTTGTGCGTATTTGTCTGCTTGTTGACTCCACCATTAGATTGTGATCTCCTTGAGGGCCAGCACTGTTTTTTGCCTCCTTTTGTATCCCTGCTTTAGCACAGTGCTTGGCACAGAGCAAGTATTTAATAACTTGATTGATTGATATAGCTATAATCCTTTGGTAAAATATAAACTATCAAGGTGAAGCAGAAAGAGCAAGGCATAAATGCTCCTTAGGTGACCCTGGGCAAGTCACTTAACCTCGGCCTGCCTCAGTTTCCTCATATGAAAAATGTGGATGACAATGGCACCTATCAGCCAGGGTTTTTTGTGAGGGCAAAGTAAAATATTTGTCAAGTGCTTCACAAATATTTAAATGTTAGATGAAAGCCGGCTCTGGTTATTCCAAGTTCCCCATCATTTTGTCTCAGTCAGACAATGTAGATTCTATACAGTGTGGTGGCTCTCACAGAAATGTGTCTTTCCCTGCTTTTTGACTTGCTTTTCAGCCAGTGACACCAGTGGGCCCCGAATGGGCAGTGGAAAAATTACAAGGGATGTTTCAGAGGCTGTAAATGGGGCTCCAAAGTCAACGAGGCTATGTGATTTCATACCTCATGTTCCTTATTGGCTTATTCACATTGCCGGCTCTGTGTCTGGCAGGATGAAGTCAATATCCGTGCTTAAATCTAATTCCAGATGGCAAGCTAGCGCTTATGCTACATAGCATAAAAATGAAGTTATAGAATCTTGGGAGAACAAAAAAAAAAAAAAGGAAGCGGCATCAACTAAGAGACAAAACATAGAACTGTGAGATGGGGAGTTTTTACTTTCACCAAAGATCTGAAACACCAACTTATCTTAAACCTTATCTGTATAATGGGTATAATTATAAGACTCTACTTCTAGACCCCTGGGGAGGATTACATAGCTAGAAAATTATGTTAACACATTTTCCTGACATAAAATGTTCGAGAAATGTTAGATAGCATGAACATTACTAATAAAATGAGGAGGAACACCTCCAATCCAGTAGTCCAAATGTTCCCAAGTCAGATATGTGGAGAGTTTTTTTCAAGATTCATTCTAGCATGTCATTCCAATTCTCTACCACTGCTAGTAATATTAACAAAAAACAGTGTTTAGAAAATCTATAATTAGATAGGAGGCTTAGGGCTGGAAGCCCTAGATGGTTACTAAGTCCTTAGAGGCCATTTCATCTAACCCTCTTATTTTACAGATGAGGAAATTGAGGCTGAGAGAGAGGTTAAGTGATTTTTCCAGAGTCACACAGCTAATAAACATCAGAGGCAGCATTTAAACCCAAGTCTCCCTGGCTTCCAAGTCCAAAGTGGGACACTCAGGCCTGTGGTTGGTATTTAGAGCACAGTGAACCTAAGGACTGTGGAGTTCCAGGCAGCAACCTCTGGCATAGAAATGGCCTAACACAGCTGGCTCCTGAACAAGGCAGATGTAGGTGAGAGTTCCTGAAATCTCTTTTCCAAAGTAAATGGAATTAAAGTCTATGAAAAGTAACACCAACCTGCAGGATCCCTCCCCCAGAAAAGATGCCCTATGGGCCTTAGAGTCAGATCCATGGCTCTTGCTGTCTGGCACATGGCACCCCTTTGACGGAGGGAAGGATAACCCTTCTTTCTCTTCCATCTCTGGCTGAGCAGTCTGGGAGATTTCTCAAAATGTGTAATTGCGAGAGGGCCTTATCTGAAGAGGAATAATCAGTCTGCCTAAAAAGAGACAGGCCACTGAATAGAGAGCAGACAAGAATAAGGAGACAGCTTGAGGAGCTCCAAGTACTTCACAGATATTTTGCTGATTTTTTTTTGTTCAGAAAGCTCATTATCACCACATGGGTATGGAACAGGTGGGAGGGCAAGGCAGAAGGCAGAGATATTTTTACTCTCATTTTACAGATGATGAAACTAAGGAAATTAGAAATTAAGAAATTAGGTGACTTGCCCAGGGCCATGCAGAAAGCTGGTGGAAGAGTCACTGATGTATCTTAACCATCTAATCACTAAGTAATTACTCAGCAACAATTACTAAGTAATAGAGCTATGTACTTCCCTAAGATGAAAGACTTGCTAATTCTGTAACAAAAAAAAAGTCCTTGCTTAGAAATTTTCTCTATTTCTTCCTTCTTTCCTTTTTGTTCTTGGCGAATATTTGAAAATGAAATGATTGGTTCCAAAAGTTCTTTTTTCCTACTGAAGAGCCCTCACCCATTTTTCTAGTGCAGGCCAATATGTTTTGAGTGCAGGATAAGAAGGGAGAAAAGGAAAGAGGGAAAGGAACAAGCATTTACTCTCTACTATGTGTCAGGCACTGTGCCAACTGCTTTATAAATTTCACCTTATAGGGGCAGCTAGGTGGCACAGTGAATAGAGCACCAGACCTGGAGTCAGGAAGACCTGAGTTGAAATCCAGCCTCAGACACTTGACACTTACTAGCTGTGTGACCCTGGGCAAGTCACTTAACCCCATTGCCTAACAAAAAACAAATATGACTTCATTTGATCTTTGATCTGATAGGGAATGACCTGCAATTTCATTGTTTTGATGACCTCCCTGATGAGGGGATTCTGCCGATACAAACCTGCTCATTGTCTATGAGTTAAAGTCTCCCAGAGCTGCCCAAAGCGGTTGAGTGATTAAATGGCTCCCAGGCCTAGTCAAAAGCAAGACCTGAACCCTGTTCTTCCTGGCTCCAAGGGTCACTTTAAACCCACTACAGAACACTGCCTCTCAGCAACACATGAGCCATTAAAAAGGGGGCAAATCCTATTTTAATGAAAATAATTTGCTCATTTTAAAAAGTTTAAACTAATTTAGGAAGAAGAATAATTTAATTACAGGATTGCTAATAGGAGGGGCAGCTAGGTGGTACAGTGGATAGAGCACCGAGCCCTGAAGTCAGGAGGACCCGAGGTCAAATCTGGCCTCAGATACTTGATACTTACTAGCTGTGTGACCCTGGGCAAGTCACTTAACCCCAATTGCCACAAAAAAAAAGATTGCTAATAGGAGAGAATTCAAAAGCAATTTGTTGAGCATCTAGGAAGTGTCTTTTTTGTGTGTGTTTTTGTTTCTTTTTTTTTTTTTGGTGAGGCATTTGGGGTTAAGTGACCTGCCCAGGGTCACACAGCTAGTGAATGGGATGTCCCAGTGAAGACTCCTCAGTGTAATTAAGGTTTGGGATAAGGCTGAGTGGGATGAGGGGTCCCGTGAAAACTTCCTTTAGAAGAATAAATAGAAATTGTATTAGACTCAAGGCGGGCATAGCAGCCTGACAGGCCTAAGTTTCAGTTTACTAGAAATCACCTGATTTACGGGAATTCAACCCCAAGTACCCCTCCCCCCCCATGCTATTGTTAAGTAGTTACAGTTTGCCAAGCCTGAAACTCCTGAAGGAGCACCTCCTGTATGCACCTGTTGCTATATTTCGGTCATGGTGACCTGGCTACACAGTACAGTGTCTAGCTTGACTGCACATCTTTAATTGCTTCTTTGGTATTACTTCAGCAAACTAAGAAATATAGATATGTATATTGTGTTCATTGTTTTGTCTTCAGTTTCTATGGTACATTGAGAATGTGAGCCAAATATTGGCCAGTTGGTGGGAGGGGGGAATTTGCTCATTAGGGTATGTAATCAGGTCTTTTGCTTCTGTTTGTGTCTCCTTTCATCAGAGTATTCTGGTGGAGGGACACCCAAATCTCGAGGTTTGAAATAATTATAATAATAAATTAACTTTCTGTTTCTCCTTGGATACCTCTGTGGGTTTTTTTTTTTAATTTCAGTGGCATCCCACACAGCTAGTGAGTGTTATGTGTCTGAAGCCGCATTTGAATTCAGGTCCTCCTGATTCCAGTGCTGGTGATAGCACCCAGCTGCCCCAGAAATGTCTTTTTAAAAAAATTTTGATTATAGTAACAACTTCAATAATCCCAGGATCTACATAGTACTCTAAGGTTTTCAAAGTGCTTTACAAGAATTATCTCATTTCGGCCTCATAGCAAATCTTCAAGGTAGTTATTATAGTTATTATTATTATTCCCATTTTTCAGCTAAGGAAACTGATATTCAGAGAGGCAAGTCACTTGTCCAGGGTCACACAGCCGATGTCAGAGGTCTATCTTGAGCTCAGGCCTTCCTGACTTCAATGACTATTCAATCAAGGGCCCACAGAACCTCAGATAGAGGAAAAACTAATTTAGGGCCACACATAGTCTGGTTTCCTGCTTATTTGTTCTACAGGTTATAAGGTATGAAATATTTTCCCAGTCACTGGCTTTATAAATGAACAAGTAAGACACAATTTTGCAGTGGTAACGTTTTGTAATATAAATACAAGTTGTAAACAATAATAGCATCACCCATTATTTATGTGGCCCTTTTTGTATCCTTGCAATTTATACAATCAGCCATGGTTGGTTAGGCCCTGAGAACTCACCCTGCCACCAAACGCTGTGCTCTTCTCTTGCTCACTGGACGTTTTCCACTGGTGATGCCCACAGACTGGAACAGGTGAGTACAGTAGCTCATGTGCAAAGTTGTCATGGGTACCAGTACATGATATGCCCCTAGTCCTTTAACATTTCAGAGCACTCTGATCCCTGATCTGCTCCTCCCAGCAACCCAACATAAGCACAAATAAGAAAAGTTACACACCTGCCATTGGTTCTAGGATATGGGAAAATATTAGGGAAGGGAGGGAGTCAGAGAGAAAAGAAGGAGGAAGAAGGAGAAGGGAGACAGATTCAGAAGGAAAGCTCCCATTCCTATGGCACCTCAAAGGATTCCAAAGCAATCTATCACCAAGCATTTTTTTTAGCACTTACTGGGTGCCAGGCACTGTGCTGGGTGCTGGGGAAACAGACAAACTAAAACAGTTGCCTCTCTCACCAGGACCCTTGGAGGCCAAGGGTATAGACTGGACAGGATTGCTACTAAGGCCTCTTCCAGCTCAAAAAATTCTCTGACTTTGTGCTTCTTTGAGGTAGCTAGTGCACATGTGATTCCCATTTTTCAGATTGGTAAACTGAACCTTAAAGTATTTCCTAAGTTAAATAGTTAAAATCATTAAATTATTTACTATTATTATTGCTATTATACAAATAGCTTATTAATAATAATAATAACTTCTACATAGCATTTCAAGGTTTTGCAAGGTACTTTATGCATCTCATTTGACTCTCACTATGACCTTGGGTGGTAGGTGTTATTATCCTGATTTTACATATAGGGAAACTGAGGCCTTCCAGGGTCTCACAGATAGTAAGTGTCTGAGACAGGATTCCAAAGCAAGTCTTCCTGACTCAAAGTCCAGTATTTTTTCCACTGTACCACCTAGCTACTTGCCATACCCTTCTTGGGAGGTTAAGGCTATCTCAGTTGACTATCCTAAATTATCTCATTCCACTATCAAGAGCCATTATATTAAAACTAGAAATCATTTTGTTATCCAAAGCCTCTCCTCTCCTCCAAGTCAAATCCAATTCCCTGCTCTAACTGGGCATTAGTAGAGATTATGCATAGTGAGATTTAGAAGAAACAAACAAACAAACAAAAATCCCACCACAGTAGGGAAAATATTTAAATAACTTCAGGAATACATGGGTTAACTTCATTCTTTGAGCAACAACTTATTGAATGCTTACCACTCACAAGGCCTTGTGATTCAGGGGGAGAGTTTCTAAGAAGAACATTGTTCTCTTGGTTACAACTCCCATCTCTATACCTGCTGAGAGCCAATGGAAATTAAGCCAGGGGTCAGAGTTGACAAAGAGGCTAGAGGTCTGCTTAATATGTTAGCTATCTGAATTGATTGAAGCTTTGTTCTCTTTGGTGACTGGTATTCCATAGCCCATCAAGATGACTTTCCACGTTTCGATTTATTGCTCTAGCAAAACGGACCCATGAAACTACAAAGCAATAGAGAGGCAGCATTATTACAGAATCACAGGCTGAGAGCTAGAAGGTACCTTTGGACCCAAGCTCATGCAAATGAGCGACTGAGGCAAGTCTCAGAGACTTGGAGTTCCAGGAAACAAGGAGCTATCATTCAAGAGCAGCCATTATGGCTCTCTGTGCCTCAGTTTTCATCATGGGGCGGGTAGGTGGCACTGTGGGTAGAATGCTGGGCCTTGTGTCTGGAAGACCAGATTTCCAACACAGCTTCTGACACTTACCAGCTGTGTGACCCTGGGCAAGTCACTTAACCTGTTTGCATCAGTTTCCTCATCTGTAAAACGGAGATAATATTAGCACCGACCTCCCAAGGTTGTTGTGAAGCTCGAATGACATAGTAGTTCTAATTATGTGTATCATAGATCCGAAGCAAGAAAGTATCTCAGAATTCATATACTCCATCTCCCTCATTTTAAGATAAGGAACCTGAGGTTCAAAGACTTTAAGAGACTTTCCTAAGGTCACACAGCTAGTAAATGTCAGAGGCCAGAAGTGGTGGCTGATAGTCTTCCTGACTCTATCCACTGCACCACACTGCCTCATAGTGATAGTCATTGGCCTTGCAGCTTGGATATGAGGAACACTTTCTATGAATAGCCAGAAAACACCAAGCATTCCTAACTGAATGCTCAGTGACAGCACATTAGCCCCATTCCACTCATCCATGCCCATTATAGCATGCCTCAGTTACCTTTTGCACCATCTGCTTGGTCACATTTGTTCTTCTTAATACTTCTCTTCTGTTTACATCAGTCTATTCCCTGGGAACCAAGGATTAGTTTACCATGGGCCAAGTGTGGGCTCCAGGCTTGTCTTTGAATGAATGTGTCTTTCTTTTCTCTTGTTAATGGGAATGGTATCCATTCCAGGCAGTGATCAATTCCATAAAATCACTCCTGGTGACTGTGGACTCCTCCTACCTAGACAGGACAGGTGTATGGATGCCACATGGACAAGTCTGGTTCATTCATAGCACCACTGCCAGGGTCCTGGTACAGAAAAGATAGATTCCCGGTAGCTGGAGATAGCATTGGCAGCACACCATACCATGTCCCTCTTTGGGGCTCTAAATAGAATCCGGCCAAATATGTGCAGCTGGTTTTGCCAAGCCCTCCTGCCACTCCTGTTCCTATTGCTCCACAGTTCTGATACCCATCCAACAATAAATTTGTTAAGACTGCTAAATTAAAATTGAGAAACAGGCTTCGTGCTTATCTGCCAGGTAAGCAGAGAGGCCCTCTCAGCGTGGTGCTGCCTGCGGAACTCTTCCCGTTAGACAACTGGCCTGAAGGAACTGAGCCCTACTCAGGGAAGACAGCTGAGTATCAAGGCCAAGCCTGAGCCTGGAAAATCTCTAACCCTTAAACTCTCTTGTAATAGTTAACAGATAGCAGCCAGGGAAGCAGCTTTTTTTTTTTCCTGAACCAATCACACCCCTGGACCAGCAACATTTAAAGTGGCATACTGATAGAACTTTAGCATGGTACTTTCTTTCTCAGAGAACAGAAGGGACAGCCTTGTCAGGGCAACTTCTCCTGTCTCTTCTCAAAGTCAAGAATCTCAGGCTTCCTTGGAGAAACAGTGCTTTCCCCTTTAACTCTCTTTAGACAACCTATGTGGACATATACAGGGCAGCTAGGTGGTACAGTGGATAGAGTGCCAGGCCTGGAGTCAGGAAGACCCATCTTCTTGAGTTCAAATCTAGCTTCAGACACTTACTAGCTGTATGATCCTGGACAAGTCACTTCATTCTGTTTGCCTCAGTTTCCTCATCTGTCAAATGAACTGGAGAAGGAAATGTCAAACCACTCAAGTATCTTTGCCAAGAAAACCCCAAAATGGGGTCATGAAGAGTTGGACACGGCTAAAAAATGACTGAACAACAACTATGGACATATACATGGGCATGAATGGGCAGCACTGCATGCCCCCTCCCTAAGAGCCAATGTACTTTTTCTTCCAGGTCTTTGCCATGGTACTGCTGGGCAGAGACATCTGTTTTTACCAGGCTGAGTTGATCTTGACTCCAAAGCTAATCATATCATCTTAGGGGAGAAGAGTTTCTCATTTCATTCCAAAACACAGAAGTGCCTCTGCCTTAATAATAGTGCACGCTCTGCGGTGTTCCGTCCTCTAGCTTTCCTTCACCACACTAGGTCTTGGCTTTGATCTCCTGACACAGTTGATCTTGGGTTATATGGCTTTTCTCTGCACCTTGCTTTGGGATGCCTCTCAGGGCTTTGTTTAATTTCTTTCCCCCAGCTTGTCTTTTTATATCTATCTGGTCTTTGGGCCCCCAGCTCCATTCCCCATTCACATTTTTGCTTATCTCTTCTTAAGAGGATTTAGCTGACCCCTACAGAGGCTTTAGGGAGGAAAATGTGGGAGGTATGCAAACCACAAGAGTCAAGATGCTGTGGGCTTGCTGTGCCCACTGGGCAGATGTTTTTAAATGTCTTCTCTTTGTCCCCAGGCATTCATGTCCTTGGAGGGTTGGACCAGCATACAGCGGAGGATCTTTTCACCAATGCCTCTTAACAACTTCTCTGTACTTCAGGTTGCTTAGGACACTGGCTGGTTCAAGGTCTGGCCTAAGGTTGCATAGCTGATGAGTCAGAAGCAGAATTTAAGTTGATTCCAAGGCCATAAGCATATCCAGAAGCTACTTCTCACACCTTTTACAGTTTGGATTGTTTTTATTTTGTTTTGCTTTTCTGTTTTTGTTTTTGTCATATAATGAATAGAGAGCAGGCCTCAGAGTCAAGGGGAGCTGAGTTCAGCTCCTGCCTCCATCTCATCCTGGTTCGGTGGCTGTGGGTAAGTCACTCCACTTCTCAGTTCCCCAGGTGATTGTTGAAGCCTCTAAGGTATAGAACAGATGCTGATCTGAACTGGGGAAGTTCCTCACTAAAATTTCTCTAGGCCAATAAAATCACAGGTCTGGTAAAAAAAAAATCTGCCTCATACAATACTTTTACCAGCCATCCCTTATACCTAGATATCTTCCCTTTTTGTCTCCCTGGATTCCTTCAAGACTCAGCTAAAGTTCTACTTTCTACCAGAAGCTTTACCTAGGACTCCTTAATCTCAGTGCCTTCCCTCTAAGATTACCTCCTACTTACCCTGTCTATAACTTGTTTGTACAGGGTTGTTTATATTTGTCTCCCCCATTAGATTATGAGCTCCATGAGAGCAGGGACTATTCTCTGACTTTTTTTGTATGTATCCTCAGCACTTAGAACTGAGGTACATAGTAGGTGCTTAATAAATGCTTATTAACTGACTGACAATAAATGTTTGGATTGAACTCCATTCAAGGTGGTCATTCTAGTGCCATGTCTTAAGGAGACATAGAACCATACAATGAAGGCAACTGTCACTCAAGTTGTGGCTTCTGTCTTCCAGTTTTTGCTAAGTTGGTTGGTTTGTTTCCATAGCTGCCTGAGATTCAGATAAGTCTGCTCTTCCGGGCAGTGTGTCACCAGAAGATGAAAGAGGGGAAAGTCTTCCAGCCATGAGAAGGCAGAAGGCAGGGAGGCACCAGCTACTAGAATAATCAACATGATGTACTGGTGGATGTCAAGCCCCTTTTCAGCCGAAACTCATGCTGGACTCTTCATTTTGGCTAAAGCAGCTGTGTCCAAGGAGCTAAGTGGTGCAGTGGATAGAGAGCCGGCACTAGTTAGGAAGACTCATCTTCCTGAGTTCAAATCTGGCCTCAGATATTTACTAATTGTATGACCCTGGGCAAGTCACTTCACTGTTTGCCTCAGTTTCCTCATCTGTCAAATGAGCTGGAGAAGGAAATGGCAAACCACTCCAGTATCTTTTCCAAGAAAACCCCAAATGGGGTCATGAAGAGTCAGACACTACTGAACAAGCTGTGTCCAAATGAACTACAAAAACAAAAATTGGGGTGGAGGGTGGGGGAAGGAGAGTCTTTCTGGAAGATGATATAGTATCATCCCTAAGGCGGAGCAGAGAGGTGAGCCACCTCAAATGCCTCAGTAAATAGATAATGAAGATGATGAGGCTGTAGTTAGAGGCACATTTCCAATGAGGTCTATGGGTAATTAGCCATGTGACTCTCATTAAGGTTAATGGAATTCCTGCAACTAAATCCCTTTCATTGTATTGAATTGAATATAGATCCTTTGGGCCAATGAAGTGATTTGAGGATCTCTGCCCACATCTAAAAAGGATACTCTCCAAACCAGCCCCCCTCCCCACTCCCCCTAACTGACATGGAAGCAATAGCTCCTAAATTACTAAGGGATGAAGTCAATTTCCAGGACCAGCATGTCAAGACCAGGCACTAGGGAGACTTCATCAACAAGCCAGATAAATATACTAAATAGAGCAAATCTTGGCAGTTGCTACAAATAAGGCCGTAACTTCTGAGAACAGCAGGTAGGAAAATAGAGCCGGCTATGGGGGGAAGGGGGGATGGAAGAGGGGAAAAGGCGGGGAGGGAAGGTAACCCAGGAAGGTACCGTGAAAAATCACCTGTCTTCTAAAATTACAGCAAAACAGTGGGCTGGTGAATTTAAGGAAGATTTTTATGCAGATGGGGATTTACTTTTCCTGCACCTGCTGTCAGCAAGCATTAGACCATAAACATCGGCAAACATTGATTAAGCATATTGCCTCAATGAAACTTCAAGCAAAGGAAGAAAGGGGCTGAGCAACTCTCAGACACAGAAGACAAATGACTCCTAGTCTAGCAATTAGAAAGGGGGAAACAGCCTCCTCTTCTGTGAAAAGGCACTTGGAACTCCATTTCTATAACATGTCTAGTAATAACTGATAGGCCTTAGGGAAAGTGCTCATTTTTCCATTATGTTTTTTTTTCTTTTGAAAGTACTTTCCGGTATTACAACATACCTGATCAGGTCACTGAAGATCCATTCATTTCATGGTTCGTGTTCAAGTTGAAACAGCTTGCTTCAAAGAAAGGCTCAGTCTTCTAAGTTAAATAAGAGGAGATATGTGGAGAGAAAGCATCCTCCCTGCCCACCTCCAACCCCCCCCCCAATCCCCGGAACCCTGGGAACCTGGATTTGGTCTCCCTGTGGATGTGCTCCCAGCAGGTCAATAACATGAATGTTTCACAAGCAACTCAAAAATGCATTTGTCATGTTGGGATTCGTTTCATCCACGCTCTGACTACTCTTTTTGATCATACAGTTGAGGCCAGGATAGCGGTCTGGATCTCCTGTGACAGACTCTGTTGAGGTTACTTACCTATGCTGTGTGTTGGTAACCTAATAAGCTTCTTGCTCAAACATTGCAAGCTGCATCTAAGTTGGAATAAAGATTAAGATCTTTCTTGCAACTTGCAGTGAGCTGCTTAGCTAGCAAATGTTGGCTGTTTGTAATAGGCTTTTGCTTTCTTCTTTGAACAAAGCATTTTTTTTCTTTGCCTTTGAAAAATTCGAATGTTTTTCCAGATGGATGAGAAGGAACTTAGCTGTTTATATGACCAATAGACAGAGTCCTCTCTTCTCCCCTCATCATTGCCTCTTTTCCCCCAAGAATATGAGGGAGAAGTTAACTTATTTTTTAAAGAACATTGTGGGGGAAGAAGTACAGGCAGATATAAGACCTCTGGGCAATGATGTGTCAGGTATAAGTGAACAAACACATGACAGTTATTTTACTTTTCTTTTTATTCTGAATTTAAACACCAAGTAAAATGAGAGTTTCCATACATAGAGCAGAATGTAAAAAAGAGGATTATACATGAAACCGTGAATCTTTATCATGTACAGCTTGCTTTTCTTTTAAAACACATAAATTCAAAATGTAATTTTCAAAGCTGACATGACAGTTCTTTTATTTCTGCCAAACTACTCCAAGCCAACCCAAAAATCACAGCCCCACACAACTACAGAGACTCAAAATGAACCAAACATTAATAAGAGCTAACAAGGAATGAAACCAGGAACATTGTACTATACGTGTCTGGATATGAGTACACGACACAGCAAATGAGGGGCAAAGGTAAGATTTGGGCTTAGGATCCAGCCCTCTGTCCATAGTGCTAGGCCATTCATTCTTTGCTACCTCTGTAGAAGAAACTCTGGACCAAAATTGACCAATCACAAGAAGGCTTGATGCTCTTACTTGGTTTTTGAAGTAGGTGTTTCATGGTTTGCATGGCCCTCATCTGGGGTAGGGACAAGACTAGCAATAATGGTATGGCAGTTTAAGGACAATACTGGAAATTCTGATTTCTCAGTTTCATTTTTTCATTTGGATGCTTGATGTTGTCAAGAGAATATAGCACTTCCTGGAATCATTTTGCTAATAAATTTTTACTAATAAAACCAAAGAGTTAAGAGAAAGTACAGGTTGGATGTCACAGTCTAAAATCCAATGAGAAAAGTCATTCCAAAATGGATAAGATGCTCTTTTTAAAAAAATGTGTTTATTGATATTTTCTGTTTCTTACACTACCATAATATCCTATGTATCCCATCAGTCTTCCCAAAGAGCCATTCCATATGACAGTGTTTTTTGAGAGGGAAAAAAGTCAGCACCATTTACTAATACATTGAAAAAGTCTAAAACCATGTCTAATATATAACACCTGTGTTCCTCCTGCTTCCTCAAAGGGGTGGGGGTATCTTCTCATATCTCTTCATCTAAGTACCACTTAATCTTTATAATTTTGTTACATTTCCTATTGATTTTTTTGGTGTGTTCCATTTACATTGTTGTAATTACTGTGTATATTGTCTTCTTGGCTCTGCTTACATCACTCTGCATCAGTTCATATAAATCTTTCCATGCTTCTCTGTATTCATCATGCACAACATTTCTTACAGCACAGTACTCTATTCCATTACGTTCATGTATTACAATTTATTTAGTCATTCCACAGTTGATGGACAACCACTTTGTTTCCAATTCTTAACTATCACAAAAAGTGCTGCTATAAATATTCGGAGTATGTGGGAACTTTTTCCTTACTAGTGGCTTCCTTGAGGGATATAAGTCCAGTAACAGAGTCTCTGGTTCAAAGGGTGTGGACATTTTAGTCACTTCATTTGCATAACCTTCAATTGCTTTCCAAAATGGTCACACCATTTCGCAGATCCCCAAACAAGGTATTGGTATATGATGGGTTGCTCTTAAGAACAAATTCTAGGAGGGGCGGAGCCAAGATGGCAGAGTGAAAGCAGTGAGTTGCTTGAGCTGTCCCCCAAACCCCTCCAAATACTCATAAAAAGTGGCTCTAAACAAATTCTGAAGCACCAGAACCCACAAAAAGACAGAGTGAAACAAATTTCCAGCCCAAGACAACCTGGATGATTGATCAGAAAGGTGTATCGCGCCAGGCTGGGAGCACAGCGCAGCATGGCAGCACGGCGTGGGTGCACAGGCCACAGCAAACCTGGATTAGGCCTCAGAGGACTGAACCGTGGGCAGCTGTGGAGGTTTCCAGACTCCTCAATCCACGGATGCCAAAGAAAACTTAGAAGGTCAGTGGGAAAAGTCTGTTTCTGTCAGTGCTGAGAGAGGAAGGTGGGGTCTCAGCTCCATTCCCCAAGAGCATGGCCCAGGGGGAGTGCAGCTGCTTCCTGAGCTTCTGGCCCACAGACTGAGGGGAAATCCAGTAGCTGATCAGAGAGGGATTGCAGGGATCTCTTTGCCAGTGCTGAGGCAGGAAGATCTTGTTTGGATCTGGGTCACAGTTCTGGGCGGTGGTGCTGGGGTGAGGAGGAATGCTGGCGTGGTGGAGCTTGTAGTGGCTGCTGAGAGGAAACCTTCCTCACAGTTGCGGGACAGAAAGGAATATTTGTGGTCACAGGCCAGGAAAGGAGTA